ATGAGGAAACATTGGGGATTATCCTGGGTGTTCCTACTACTGGAATTCAATCTATTTAAGGGTGTAGGCCTTCACAACATTCACAGAACTCGCCTCAAAGAAGGGAGATTCTAAGAAGGCAGGGGTACCCAAAAAGTACCTCAAGGGCGAGTATCAGTTGACCTTTGAGTTTGTTAACAAGGTCATGGTGCCTAGGTCGGAGAAACGACAGTTGCATCTGCTGCAGATCTCTTCTGATGGAAAAGTTAAGCGTTTTTGAAGCGATACATCTCCCAGCAATCATGCTTGAGTATATGCATCGTGTTATGACATGAAAGAAGGAAAATCATGGAATTCCATATAGGTATCTTCTCAATTGGGTGTTGAATCACTTTGAGGTGCCCTTAGGAATGGGAGTAGCAGGTACTATTAAACAAATGTTTTCCAAGTATACTCTCCGAGATTGCGAGTGCATTGAAGGGGAAGCACCAGGTCGCTCACAAGTTGCAGCAGTACTTGAGCAACTAGTTGTTCTTAAGCGGGAAGTGGATGATATCACTGTTCTCTTGGATGACAAGGAAGTTGAGGTGGTTACTCTTAAGTCTAATCTTCAGAAGGTGCTATCAAGAGGACTTGGTCCTATTTAGGATAAGGGGAGGTCTTAAGCAAGTTGAAAGCTGAAAATAATCAACTAAATGTTAAGAATGCCTCACTCAGTGAGGAAGTTAAAGCTCTCAACAAGCAACTCATTAAGTCTCGTGAGGATGACAATGAGAGAGTGCTTCTGCTTCTGAGAACCCTTTACCCCTCTCCCCCTCCGTCCTAAATATGTGTTGTCATTTCTTCTAGTCTGTCTATATTCTAGTGTTTTTCTCCTATGGTTTAACGTGGTCTAGTGTTATATCTAAGTGTCCAGTATTAATATGATCAAATCTTAATTATGTTTTTATGCACTGTTACTAAGTATTGTTATCATGTCTTTTTGCTTATGTTCGCATGTTTTGTGTGGCCATAGCCCTGGATTCTCTTGTTATCATGTGTTGGTTTTTATGTATGTTTATTGTCCCTCCTTTTCAGTGATATCAAAAGGGGGAAGATTCTGGATTGTGGTAGTAGTTCAGGAAATCAATGTAAGGGGGAATCATGGTTTATGGAAAATGATAGGAGAAATCCGGAAATATTGCTTTATGTATTTCTTGAATGAATGTGTGAGGAACAAATGCAGGTCGGTTTGTCATCATCAAAAAGGGGGAAATTGATAGAATACTCGCCTCAAGATGTTTTGATGATTCCTCTCAAGTGCAGGGACCCGATCGTCTATAGAGTTGAATAAAACCAGTCCCATCAGCGAAAAGTACAAATAACTGTATAAAGCTGCCTATGTTAGGGAGGTTGGTGAAGAGCAGTGTACTTCTCCAATCAAAATTGACTAGGTTGTTTTATTTTATGGTTAACAAGTCTTCATATTATATATCAAAAAAAATTCAATACATTACTCATTCATTCAAAAAGGCAAAATATTTTCAAGCATCAAGAACAACAAGATATCGATCAAAAGGCTTTCAGTTCTTCTTGTTATTTGTTGTTTTCTATTTGCTTCTAATTGTTCTCAAATTGTAGGATATGTTTTGATATTGCTAGAAACGAATCAACCATTGGGTGTTTCACTGTAAGGGCTTGGGTTTCGATTAACTTAGGTTCTTACGAAGCAGTGTTGTATATGCTTATTTCTCAGCTAAGTAGTAAGGTGTATTACTTAGTGAAGAGGCTAGGAGTTTAGTCTCTAGTTTGTAACTGATTTTTACATTTGCTTGTGGAAGATTACTGAAAGTGGTTGTGGAAAAGTCCTTTGAGAAAAGGTCGTGGTTTTACTTTCTTGAGCAAGGAGGTTTCCATGTAAAAATGACTGTCTCTTTAATTTCCTTTTTGTGTCCTTTAATTACTGTGCATTAATATTAAGAGGACCAAGTCCCATCTAAGATAAGTGGACGCGTACATTCCAACACCTATATAGCTATAGTTACTTACAAATAATCATAATTTCAAAAACTATTTACAGTATGCTCAATTCCATAGCAAGATTGTAATTTAACATAAAATCACAACAAACAATTTTATAACACAATCGAATGTTTGTTGTAAATATTGCGGTATGCTCAATTCCATAGCAAGACTTAAATACCTATAGAAAATTCACGGACAACATCAAACAAAGCAAAGAAGAGAAAGCTAAACAGTTGTGAAGGTATTTCAATGGTCCAAAACAAAGCACTTCTTTTAGCATGATATATTTATTCGAACTACCATATTAGTTGGATAACCCAGAAACAAAACGACATAAAATGCAAAACAGTGGCATGCCATCATCACATTCAAGCATTGGTGATAAAATTACTAAATAAGAGAGGAAAAATGAATGTTCCAATCGAAAAACAACGCTTAAAGTTGAGCTATTAGAGCTAAAACAGAATATTACAAAAATACCATCCTTAAACATAGAAAATTCTTCTAAACATAAGAAATCAAATCGATAATTGCATTCTTCATGAAGAGGAGAAAAATTATCAACTGAAAGCAGAGAATTGACTTGCTTAGGAGACTAATCTTAGTACTTATAAATCCTACTATTGTTTTGCGTTTACGTGTAACCTCCATATATCAAAGACACTTTCTTTCATAACAATACACAACACTAAAAACTTTCGCAGATTTACTCAACAATAGAAAGAATAAACGAAGGCATGAAAGAGTTTATAAAAAGCAAATAACGACCTCTCAATATGTGCCAAAGTTTTAGACGACATGAAAACAACTGATATTTCCTTAAATGATGAGCCTTGTTCGCAATAAGTTAGGAAAATCTCTCTCTCTCTCTCTGTGTCTATATATATATTCACTTACAATTAAAGAGAATAATGAATTGTTTTAACATAAATGATATTCTTATTGTTGTAATGCAGTATGAAGAGTTGTAACAGTTGTCAAGAACTTATTACAATCAAATAAAAAGTATAAAATAGAAGAGCACATAATCTGAAAGTAACCAACAAAATTTTAGAATCATTGCAATTTTTTTTTTACTACCGCATGTAAATCAAGGTTTTTTATTTGTGTATACATGAAATTATGCATGAGAGCACATAATCTAAAAGTAATTTGATGAAAGGGAAGAATTATGTCAATAGAAGATATAGTATTTCCGGTAATTGAATTTTTGAAAAGTTTTACTGCATTAAATTAATAAAAAATTTATTTGTTTGTACAAATAAAATTAGACAAAAGGATATGGAGATAAATTAACAAAATTGAAGAATCATTCCACAAGAAGATTTACTGCTTCAGGTAAATCAAAATCTTGATTTGTTGTATAAGTAAATTCATTAGAATATAAAGACAAATTTAATCATTTTATGCCAACAAAAATTATATCAATGGATCCATCAAAATTGTTCAATGAAATCCTATGTAGAAATTTAATATACCATAGATAGAGAGATCAAAATGTCCTCTAACATTCAATTTGTGAACTTTAATATTGATTCCACTATTAATTCTCCAATTTCATTTTATTTCATAAATCAAAAGCTAATATAGTTGAGGCAAGAAATAGCTAGATAAAAAAAAGAAGATAGTAATGAATCTTTTCAGATAGTAAAGAATAATTTAGTGTGATACAATTAGAAGAAAAAATAAACACACGAGGCAGGAAATAACAAGATAAAAAGAAGAAGACATGTAGTAGTTAATTGAGTAAACAGTAAAGGGAAGTCAAAGAAGAAAAAGGAAAGAATTTCTTTTTGAAGTAATTACGATAAAAATAAACATAAGAAAGGAAAACAAATGTGGAAACGTTACAAAAAATGTAAAAATTGTTATGAAACTATATAAACAAGAAGAAGAATAAAGTAGAGAGAAGAAAAAAGACTTTTTATTTTTCTTAAAGTATATTCAGAATTCATGGATCTTCTTTACAATAAAGGAAAACCTTTTTATTCATAGAGAAAACCTAACTTTGTCCCCAAGTAGGATTCCTAACCACATCTAAAAGGACTTCACATAATTAGACATTCACTATAATACAAATATGTTTATAACACTCTCCCTTGAATGCCGGTAAATTATCTGCCTCGTTAAAACCTTACTAGATAAAACCTGGTGGAAAAAAAATCTAGTGAAGGAAAAAGAGTCTAATAATACACATTATGAATGCCTCATTAAAAACCTTACAATGAAAATCCAATGGGACAAAACCTTGTGAGGGAAAAATAGTACATCGTGTATTAACCCCCCTAATGAGAACATCAATCCAAAGACTTTAATCTTCTCTTTTAATTTGTAGTTGGTAGAGACTCTGTGAAAAAATCAACTATAGTATTACTTGAACAAACTTGTTGCATATTGATATCACCATTCTTGGGAGAGCTCATGAGTGTAAGAAAAACTTTGACGAAATATGTTTCCTTCTATCTCCTTTTATGAATCTTTCGTTCGAGATCAAAGATTTCTGCAAGTTGCTTACTTCAACTTCTTTAAGCAAATAATCTATTGCCTTTTTATAACTATTCAAGAGTTTTAATTTTAAGTCATCAACATGAATAACAATACAAAAGTTCTCAATTGATTGAATCTATATATGAGGATCATAAACAAGTTTTCCAAAAAACTTGTATATGTTTTTTATTTTAAATTCAGTGGACATTTTCATATCAATTTTGTCAAGTGACAACATTCAATATTAGATGTATGACATCTTATAGTGTCTAGGTTGCAAGTTAACATTACAAAGAAAAAGGCTTTCCAGGGACAAGTCTTTAGCGACGGTATTAAATTCTAGTCGTGAAAAGGATATTTTTAGCGATTAGATCTAATTTTGGTACTAAAAATCAATTTTATTTATTTAACGACGAAGGATAAAAATCTCGTCCTAGAAAATGTAATCTACTGGTCGTTAAGGTCCTAAAAGAGTTGGACCCACATGCCACCGAATTTCTCCCTAAATATTTATAAGTTATATCATTTACAAATATAAAAATGAATTATAAACATTCCTCTGTTCAGCAACTTAGCGACTGGCTAGGGTTTACTCCCATTCTCAACTTTTTCTCAATCTTCATCATTTTTACAGCTTTGTTCCACGATTTGATTGAAAGTTGTTCTTGATTTCTTGGTTCAGTGTCACGATTTTTAACGGAACATTTGAAGGAAAAATATTATCAAATTGGTGATAACTTCATTAATGCTATCTATTGCATTAAGATGGTGAGTTGTATCTATGTTCAGGGACTTTAGGTAATCAATCATAAAATTTTATTCCTTAGCTTTTTGAAACCTATGAATGGTTGAGGGGCTACAATTTATGTTTTCGGCAATTGTGGATTTGAAGATAATTTTTTTTGTAGTATTATAAATATAGTTATGCTAAATTGGTGTCTTGGAGCTAGAAAATTTAATTCATATCCTGTATTCAGTAGAAGACAAACATCTTTTAAAGTAGATATCGTCACTGGTGAATTCACAATTGATGTTAATTGGTGCATATACCTCTTTGTTTTGTTTTTTTTTTCAACTAGAAAGAGGAAAGGCCAATTTCCTGTTAGCAAAAAGGGAACTTGACAATAACTATTATTCTGTCAAGGCTTTCAATTTTTCCTAGTAATTAAATTAAAAAACAATGAACAAAAGCAACACTAAGTTCAAAAGTAATTGTTGCACTAAACAATCTGCACTGTCTATATATACATTTTGTATGCATATATAAGAAGAAACAACACTATCTCCACTTCAGTTAGATCATAGTTTAGAAATATTTTTCAATCTCATTTTTCAGAGAACAAGTTTTGAAGTTGTTGGGAGTGTTGTCAAGCCCCATTGCCCAACTAAATTCGTTAGCAAATTCAACATGTTTGTACTTGTCCTTAATGATAGACCTAGTGGTATTATAATAACCAAGCCATGTCTGGTATGCAAATTCCTTGCTTTATATCTAATATAGAATAACACATGTTCCACCTCTTTTTGGCCTCTGGATCTAGCAGAGATAAAGGTGCATTTGATATGGGCAAATCTTTAATCATAATAAAGAGATGAAGAGGCCTTTTTTATATGGGAAAATCTTGGATATATATTCTCATCTCAGAAATCTTTTGAACTGCAACCTTACAGAAATTCATACAATTAGGATTGGTGAAGAACTGAAGATTATGTTATTGCTAGCTGATGAGTCAATGATCTCAAGTTTAAATTTCCATTAGCTCATGGATGCATGCAATAACTTATTCCCTTATTTTTTTATTATTTAAACTTTGAATTATCAGTTTTATTATTACGCGTGGCACATCTGGAAGGAGGGGGTGGTTCCTGAAGATGACAGTTGAATAAACTCGTGAAATTGGATTTCCTTCTGTTGTTTCTTATACGCTTTCACTGACACTACTGATACCATGCAGACATTAATATGCAGATTGACGAGTTTACTATTGATACCTAGAATGCATAACTAGATTAAACTCTAATGTTGTAGTTGTATCTAGTGTAAGAATCTAATGCAACACAGTATTAATTTCGAAGATGTGATTGGATTGTAGAATTTGTTTTCTTCTCTAAAGTTTTATCATTTGTTGCTAAAAGAAAAAGTCTAGCTTTGATGCTAACCCTTGTACTTTTAAATTGTATTCGACCGCTGAACGTAATTTCTTTAAATATTTCAGTTGGTCATCTTAGTGGTGACTTCTATTTGAAATGAGCATTACTAAGAGGTTATGCTAAGACAGGGGCCATGAACAAGTGAGTTTTATTTATTATCCATGTTTGCTGGCATTGCTGCTATAGTTATCTGTATAGAGTTGTATCAGCAAGCACATTGGGGATTTTCATGCCCTTCTGTGATTTTTTTTTTTAATTTTGCTTGTTGCTTCTGCCTTGAATATTGCTAGGTTTGGTACGAAAACAGGGTGAATAATATGGAATTGTTATTGGAAGAAATACTAGTTTAATAGAAGTCTAATTGGGCAAAATATGCTTTTATCATTCAAATTTGGTTTGTACAGGTTAGATACTTGATATTCAATAACTAGTTCCTACTACCTTCTGAAAGATCTTAGTTTAACAGAAGTTTGAATCTTCTTTATTCATCTCCTCATCCTAAATATTTCTATACAACAAATACCGGTGGATAATTTTTGGATAGAAATATTGGTGCATATATAATAGTTCCCTGTAACAATATCTTGAATGACTTTGAAGCGGTTTAGTGAATTTAGTTGTTTAGACTTTAGTCCACTTGTTTAGTACAAATATATCTTTGTCCATGTTGTTGGCAGAGTATGTACTTAACAGTAAAAAATCTAGCATGTAATGTCTTATTTCTTATCTTCATTGAAATGTGTTTTGTATGATTAGATTGTGCACATTTCTTTTCTCTAAGAAAATTTTATTTTGTATTTTTACAGGATTTGGAGATTTCTGTTTACAAGTCGAGATGCAAGTTTGAATATTTTCAACAAGTTTTGATAATCTGGTCATCATTTTGCTACTACAATTTGGCAAAGTATTTCATTAATTATATACTTGGATATGTTAGTTGTGCAAAGAATATCATGATCATAATTTTAAAAAGAATTTGACATGTATGTGCGATGCTAATTAATCGTTAGTTTAATTAATATGATGGGAAAATACCCAAGTACTCCCTCAACCTATGCCCGAAATCCCAGAGACACACTTATACTATACTAATGTCC